CCTAAACCCTATAGAACCCCTTAAAGGAACCCTAAAGGAACCCCCCCTATAACCCCACTTATAACTACCCCTGAACCTCCAAGTATCAGGTTTACGGTTTAGGGGAGTTTCCAACCAGGACCCTCCTTGTACCCTCAAATAGGGGTAGATGGTCCCAAACAGTGGGTTATTTAGGGTCTAGGGTTTAGGGTTTAGGGTTTAGGGGTTTAGGGTTTAGGGTTTAGATAGTAGATGGAGAGTCTAGGAAGAGACTCAAGAGCCAAACCCCTTTGGTCAATAATTACCAATACTATTTTGTGGTTCCTTACCGTAATGATATATGATATGATACCCCCCCAAAGTATAGCCCTGAACAACACCCCGAAGTTACGGTTGGGTCTTAGGATTTATGCATGGTCTAGGGCTTACAGGGCTAAGTCTCGACGCTGCAGCCCTCAACCCAAGGTTTAGGGTTTGGGGTTCCCTCATAAGCCTGAGACTATTATGCTGGCTTGAAGACCCCTCCAGGCCATCTGAAATATCCATTGCTCGTAGGGATTAGGTTTCGGAGCATGGTTGAAAGGGTTAATTATAGGGGCCTTAATACTTAGAATGCGGGTTTGGGGCCCAGTATACTGTACATATAATAAGGAACCCTCAAAATATTATACGTAATTATTTAGACCCCTACATTATAGGGCTTTGGAAGTTTAGGGGTTGAGGGTTTAGGGTAAGGTGTGAGGTTACGTGTCTGAGGACCGTGTCAACAGCTTGGAATCAGCACTCGCAATGCTTGCAAAGAAGTGGGAGATAAGACAGGCCTAAACCCAAACCCTAAACCCTAAACCCTACTCACAGAGATATGACATGGCTGAGCTCAGCGAGATTGTTCAAACTGTAGCTATAAGCTCAGCTGTATTCTTGGTTTAACCCTATACCCCCAATTAGGGCTTGCGGGGCTTAGGATACATCTGAAACTACCAAAACCTTTTTTTTTTGTAGGGTCCCTATAAAATCCATATTAGGGTCTATTATAAGAACCTGCAAAAAAGTAGGTTTTGGTCGTTGAAGGCATACCCCAAACTACCCAGGCAGCTCTTTCAGCTGGTTGGGGCTTCTGCGTCGGAGTGCGACACCATCCCAGGCGCGGCAGCTTCGGAAGCATCGCAAGTGGGGGTTTAGGGTTTAGGGTTTAGGGTTGATGATGGTCCAGGATTTAGGGGTTTAGGGTTATTTAGGGTTTAGGGTTAGTTTGCCCATATTCACCAAACACTAGTTTCGGAGTTCCGTCCCCGCAAGACTTCAGCTGCTGGCAAGGCTTTGTTGGGTAGTCCCTACCGAGATTTCGGTTCCACAATGAGGCGGTAGCAACTTTACATCTTGTCGAAGGTTCCCAGGCTCACCGGCGTTTAACATGAATGAGGCCCCCACTGAAACGAATCTCAAAATCGAAGTATGGTAAATGGGTAGTTTTCTAAATTAGGGTCCCTCTTTAGGTCCCCAATATAGTACGGCACACTTATAAAGGGACCCCTAAAAGGGACCCTAATCTGGAGAGCTACCCAAATATAGTTTTATTGCTGACTCTTTAGACGGAAGTTCACACGTTGGCATGGCTTGGGCATCCCTTTGGGACTCTTTCGGTGGGGCAAACTCCAACCAGGCCAACAGAAGGAAGCCAAAAAGTAGGAGCCTAAATACTATTCTGGGGGTTTCGTTTATAACTATAGTATAGTGGGCCCCACAACCCTATTCTATTTTTTGAACCCCTTTTTTTTGGAGAGAGCGCGACGAAGATGATGCAAGGGTTTTATCCAGGCACAAGGGTGCCAAGGACAGTCAAACGCCCTTGATCAAGCAATGTTCTGCGACATGTTCTGAGGATCCCCATGCTACCTAAAGTTACAGTCCTTAGTTCGATGACCCCCGTAATAGCTAAAGAGCTGTATTCCTTAACCGAATTTGTTCATAACATCAACAGCTGTATTCCTTGATTGAGGGCTGCGGGTGTGATGGCCCCTCGGGGCATCTTATGGCTGCGGACTAGCGTCAAGGAGAAGGGCAACCCTAAACCTTATTAGGACCCGAAACCCTAAACCCAACTTTAAACCCTACACCCGTAAAGGCCCCAACTCCTAAACCCCTAGCACAGAAAAGCCGAGAAGCAAAGCCCTAATCCTAGAATACGCAGAGTTGTTGGTATACCCTCATCCCCCGCTTAAAACTCTACTTGCTGATCCCACTTCCTAAGTTTCGCTGATCCTCGAAGTACGTCCAGCTCCGGGTCCATACCAGGCCGGCAATGCATGGCCTCGTGCTTCTTCTTGCTGCGTCAGTTTGAGGATGTGCCACGGCCTGTTTTCGTACTTTAAGTTTATGCGGCGTACGGTTTGGGGGTTAAGGTTGTAGATGGTTCTCGGATCTTGGGGTTTTGGGGTTGTGTACGACTTAGGCCCCCAACTCAAAGCACTTCAGGCTAGGTTCCAGAACTTCAGGGCAACCTGAGAAACATTGTTTCGAGTTACTGCCTGACAGGCCTAGGAGACGAAGTATGTAAAATCACGTGCTGCTCGTTTCGATCCTTCGTCCACAGGGAACAAGCCATGCAGAACACATACCTCTATCTGTCTATCTATCTATCTGTATGTATGCATGTATGTATGTAGGCAGGCAGGCAGGCAGGCAGGCCGGCAGGTAGGTAGGTAGGTAG